TCTCCTGCCCGGGCTGGCTTTGAACCGCGATCCTCAGATCTCAGCCTCCTGAGTAGCTAGGATTACAGGCGTGAGCCACCAGCGCCCGGCTGGAGGCAAATTTAAACTCAGCCAAGTGGACTCAGGCAGGCATGTAAGGTACACTTTCCCACTGCTGAGAAAGCACAGTGACTCATACCTCCCTCAGGATGAAGGAGAAATACAGCTTGCCTGACGCTGTGTTTATGAGTCGAACTAAAGGTTAACTTACATGTACCAAGTTTCTACTAAGTTTTTATAACTTTCCTGTTAAATCAAACTGGCAAATCGAAGCCAAGGGGATGATGAAGGTATTTTTCAGAAGCGCATCATTACTTCTTCTAATTAGAGGGAAGAGAACATGGAAAAACTGGACAAGAAATGAAGTGGTTTTTTGGTGTTTTTTTTTTTTTTTGGCTGGCTAGGACTGGACTCATAGAATGTCAGAGCTGGGTTAGACTCGCCCTTTGTCTCCCCCATGTTTTGAAGGAATAAAATGGATCCAGAGAAAGTGGTTTATGTCAAGCCTCACAATGAAGCCGCATTTATATATTCCCATTTCCAGGCGAGGGCAGCTTCCTGTGTGCCTGCCGGGTAGTTGCTCAGTATACCTGCTAGCTTCCTGAGAGGACTTCTTACACAAGGGCAACGCACACTCTCCCCGGCTATGCGGAGAATCAGAAGCTGTCAAAGGAGATAAATGCCAAGTGCAGGGGAGGGAGGTCAGTTGCTACAAAGTCACTTAATTGTCACGTGGATGAAAGATGGGATGTATGTGACAGCCTTGGACAACCCAGGGCCACTATCCTACCGCCATTTTTGCACGCAGTAAGTTTTAGGGTGTCTCCACAGCCAAATGCGTGCCCTCCTCCTTTACATTTGGAAAGCCTGTTTTTCCATTTGGGGGTTCTTTCCCATGAAGTGCACTTAGAAAGACCACCTGGCCAGAGCTGAAATGTTTCCCTGAGATACCAATAATAAAGGCCTTCCTTTCCCCACCCAGAGATAACTGGGTACTCCAGAATGCAGAGCAAGAGGAAACATTAAGGTATGGAAAATGAGATCCTGAAGAGACATGTAGCTTGCAGAGTCATTTACTTATGCATTTGCCTCTCCCTCTAGTCTTGAAGCTCTTGGTAGGCAGATTTAAGGCTTGATTTTACTGTATTTATTCATCTATTTATTTTTATGCCAGTATTGAGGCTTGAACTCAGGGCTAGCACTCTACCACTTGAGCCACAGCCCCACTTCTGCCTTTTTGATAGTTCAATAAAGATAAGAGTCTCACAGACTTTCCTGCCTGGGTTGACTTTGAACTGAGATTTTCAGATCTCAGCTTCCTGAGTAGCTAGGATTACAGGTGTGAGCCACCAGCATCAATCAGCCCAAGGCTGGTTTATGCCTTTATCTTCATACTTGGCATAGTTAACAGCCTCAAGTCTGGTGGATGATGTCTTGTTTTGTGCCACCCCTATCTGCTGTCTTCTCCTCCAGCGTATGAATCCCCGAGGCCAGGGACCTGACTCACGCATGTGTAAGTCCCTCCATCTTAGCATTTTTCCGCCTGGAGTGGATGTTTACCGAATAAATACATGGATGCACTGGCATTTGAAAATTCAGAAATTTCTATGCAAATTCGATGCTTTGGAAGACAAGATTTAGGCTCTTAATTTGGAAACCATACCAACCAACAGGTTTTTCAGGCTTCAACGGGGTGTTCAGGTAGAAATGTCTCTAGACTCTTGGTTGTTGATTAATGAGTGGCCCTAGCTAGAGTTCTGGAGACAGGCCTGCCTACGTGAATATAGGTCATCATTGCTCAAAGACACACACTTCTGGGGGCAGCTGCACTCTTGGGCTTGGGTATAAGGTTTAAGGGTTTCTTTCCCACAGCTAAAGCTTTTCACTTTACAAGACTGGTGAAGATGCCAGGAGTTGGTAGCTCACGCCTATAATCCTAGCTATTCAGGAGGCTGAGATCTGAGGACTGCATTTCAAAGTCAGCCCCAGCAGGAAAAAGTCCATGAGACTCTTATTTCTACTTAACCACCAGAAAACCGGAAGTGGCGCTGTGGCTCAAAGTGGTAGAATACTAGCCTTGAGCAAAAGAACTCAGGGACAGTACCCAGTCCCTGAGTTCAAGCCCCCAAACTTATAGGAAAAAAACAAAAAGATTGGTGAAGATGAAGAATACAGCTTGGCCTGGATCCCTGTCCCAAGGGATCAGCAAGGCAACTCTCGATAAGTGACAAGGCCTTTCTGTGCCTCTGTTTCTATATAGACCATGATGTGGTCCACAGGTGATAAGACTTGGCTAAGGGGCTCTCGAGGTTCAAGGCATTTATTCATGGAACAAGCGTTCCTCAGTCGGCATGGATGACTACCTTTGGTGTAAGGCAAACACATTTTACAATCCTCAATGGACGCTGGTTATATTCTCGCATCCAATCCAAGATTATGACCATCATCCCCTCAGATGACACGTCTCTGAAGACATCCACGATTGCTATAGAGATGTTTTCATCCCTGTCCTCTGTCCCCAGCTCTTGCCAGCTCCTCCTTCTTACTGTTCCCTTGGTTCAAACCCAAGATCATTTCCATTCACAGGCTATAGGAATCTGGCCCAAATAAGCCCTCTCCCCGGGTGAGCATTCGGTGACAAGTCTGGTGGTCACTATGCTGCCCTGGGATGAGTGGCCACTGGGTGCAAACCAACGAAACACGGGCGTCAGAATGTCACAGTGCTTGGGAAATCACAAAGACTCTAGGTGCCACACAGAAGGTTGATGGGAAAAAAAAATGCAAATGGGAGGCGATAGAGTGCCTTCTTTGGAAGTATGAGGTCCTGAGTTCAAGCCCTAGTATCTCAAAAAAGAAAATAAAATGGAATCAAAAAAGGCTTCTTTTGTTCAAACTTGAGCCTTTGTGCATGCTGGGCAGGCAGCCCTTGCTCTGATTATTTTGAGATGGGGTCTTTTTTTTTTTAAGGGTAGACGGCAGGGCTAGCTCAGTTTGTAATCCCCTAGTTATGCTTCCTGCTTATCTGGATGACATACACACACACACACACCACCATGCCTAGTCTCTTCTGTTGAGATGGAGGCCTCATCAGCTTTGTTTCTGGGCTGGCCTGGAACTTCAGTCTTACCCATCTCAGTCTCCTGCCTGTAGCTGGGATTACAGATATGAGCCACTAGACTAGCCAGAGTAGTGCTTCAGGCTGTCTTGTCTTCTAGCATCCTTCCCTATCGTAAGTGACAGAAGCATGTGCTAAATGTCTTCTGTGACAGACTCCCTGCTTGCCTGCACACCCACTGGAAATGACTCAGGAAGTCTATTATCCAAATTACACAAGTTCAGCCCCAATTAAATCATTCTTACCTTGAATAACACAATGGCGTAGTCGTATATTAATGCAGGATCCTCTGTCTCCAGAGCCCCCTTGGCGTACCACTCGATGGCTGCTTCCGGGTTCTTGGCCACACCTTGCTGCCCCCAGAATAGCATCTGGGCTAATCGTTGCTTAAAGACAATAGCAATTTAGAACAGTGATTCTTCCTGTGCACATGCATGCAACAGAAGACTTTAAAAAGTGGGAGGACAAACCTGATATATAACGCTTTACACAGAGAATTAGACATATTTGTCTTCTAAAGCCTGAAGGTGGATGCCTGTAATCCTAGCTACTCGGGGAAGCTGAGATTTGAGGATCACAGTTCAAAACCAGCCAGGTCAGGTAAGGTTAGGAGAGTCTTATCTCCAATAAACTACCAAACAAGTGGGAAGGAAAGCTGTGGCTCAAGTGGTAGAGAGCTAGCCTTAAGCACAAGAGCTCAGGGACAGCACCTAGACCCTAGGTCAAAGCCCCAGGACCAGCACACACATACAAAAGAAGAAAAATCCAGCAGGAGTCTTGTGCCGCTGTCTGGGTGGGTGGTAAGGCTATGCTCTGCCCACGTGGAAGTCAACTGTGCTCCAGTGACCTGCTTTGGCCAGTGAAATGGCCGTACAGTAGTGGCTCACTGATGGATGAGCAGGGGCCACCACTCTACCATGACTCTGAAAGCAGGTGTAGAGGAGCCTGGTCAGCCTGGGCTCCGAGGGGCTGTGGGAGCAGAGCCCCTGCCCATCTCCATTACCTCCGTAGGATAAAGAAGAAATACACAGAAAGTGTTCGAAGGCTTTGGCATTTGGGAGGCTTTGTTGTACATCTTGGTCTCGCTTGTACCTGGGCTGCTGCGTTGCCTCGGGTGGCTTCATGCTTCAACCACATAAAGACATCGCCATCTTCTCTGGTTTGCACCTTGAGTACTTCATCATCTTTTAATCTGATGGTTTCCACGTAGGCCTACAAGGAAAGGAAGAAGAGGTGGAAAAAAGGGAGGGTGGGAGGGAAAAAGGAAGGGGGAGAAAAGGAGGGAAGGAAGAAGGGAGGGAAATAAGGAGGGAAGAAAGCAGGGAAGAGAAGAAAGAAAAAGAAAGGAGGGAACAAAGGAAGGAAGGAAAGAAGGAAGGAAGGAAAAGGTAGGGAGGGACAGGAGAAAGAAGGAAGGGTAAAGGGAGGGAAAAAGGAGGGAGGAAAAGGAGTGAGGGAGGAGAAAGGAAGAAGGAAAGAATAAAGGGAGGGAGGTAGTGAAAGAGGAAGGGAGGGAAGAACGGAGGAAAGGATTCAAATGGTTATGGCATGCAAAGAACACGACTTGTTTTAAAACCAGCAGTTGTTAAACAAAAGCATATGAATAATTGAAATATGAGGCATGCCTACAATGCCACAAGATCAAATTCTTTGAAACAAATGTCTCACATCTCACATCTCGTATATGTATATGGGCATTTGTTCTTATCGAAATGTTTGCTTTGGAATGAAGCATTCCTCCCCCCCACCCTCCCCCCACACTTCTGTTTCTATTATTCAAGCTTGTTCAGAAGTTCACTGCTGTTACTCACCTCAGTGCTAGCTCGATCTCTGCTACTCTCTCTTTCTCTCTCTCTCTCTCTTTCACACACACACATACACATCAAAGAGGTAAATCAATATTTTCTGAGTATCCCTTTAATTTTTCATCCCCAAATACGCCTACCCATTTTATTTTTGCAGGCTTTGTTTCAGATACTGTGTGTGTGTTACATTTTTATTATCTTTCAGTAGTTGTACTAAAGGCTTACCCTCCAACAAATCAGTTTATAAGTACCAGGCATTTTGATCATCTTTTGGTATTTCTAGCAAATTTTAAATCTATTCTGAAAAGAAGTGGGCATGTTAGCTCTGAGAATTAAAAAAAAAATACTCTGGAGATGAACATTCACAGAGCGACTTGAATTTGTGCCCAAGCTTCTAGCTATTTGACGCCTTTGAAGAAAATAAATTCATTTTGGTGTATCCACTGTGGCTGTTTATTAGAAATCTGGTCCCTTTGTTTCATGGTTTCTCCTTCCGCATAGTGAAGGCCATGGAACCTTCCACAAGGGGACCCTGGAGAGTGTTTTCTGTACCCGCACAGGCCATAGGCAGGTGTGGGAAACTGCATTGGGTAGTGTGCAAAAGCAGCTTCAGAACAAGGAGCCAGGCTGGAATTTCCTTTGGCCACCAAGGATTGAGAGTCTCAACTCTCACTGTACCTGTCCTTCCGAATACCTCTCAGTGGCCTCTGCTTTGTGGCCGTGTAGGGTCTGGGGTCCCTTTGTGGGGCTAGGGGCCATGCTCTCAGAGAGTCTCGGAGCCCAGCCAGAATGATGGCTCACCTCAGGAGGTGACAATTAGAATAATTACAGCCACTACCTTTTATTGAGACCTACCAAGTACTGGGCATCTAACAATAGCTTTTTTATTTAATCCTCACAGAAAAGCTGTGACCTAGGTATGACTTCCCCCAGTGTCTAGGCAAACCAACCAACCAAACAAACAAACAAACAAACAAACAACCAAGAGCCCTGAGAAAACATGGAAAGCCAGTTGGTTGGACTCCAATGACAGACCTCTTCCACTCCCCTGCTCAATGGCGCCCCCTAGAGAAGCAGAAGCCATGTTGCTTCATTCTTTGTCAAGCGCATGGCTGTGGGTCTGTGTGTTGTAGGTTTGGCGTGAGCTCTTGCTTGGGGAGACACTGTCTTCTGTGAGGAGCCTGGGGTGGGGCCAGAGCTGGAGCCATTCTGATAAGGAACTGTCAAATGGGAGATTTTGTGTTTGGGTATTTTGCATTTTGGTTTCCCTGTTCTGTTTTCTTGCTATGGGTCCTGAATGAGCGGCAGGGAGGGTTAGAATGCTGTCTTGGCAGAGTTCATGTTTTGGAGTGATCCGGCATGCCTGAAGAAGCATCACAGTTGGTTGTGTGGACCACTGGCCTCTTTCCACTTTCTAGAGTGGTGGCATTGAATTTTTCCAGCAAGGCAGGGGCCTTGGGAGCTCGACCTTTCCTACCTGACCCAGGTGATTTGAATTTGAACTCATGACCAACTCTCTGCGGGCCTTGGGCCAGTTACTTCATTTAAACACTCCTTTTTTGTTGTTGTTGGTTGTTAGGCTTGAACTCTGGGCCTGGGGCGCTGTCTCTGAGCTCCTCGGCTCAAGGCTAGCACTCTAGCACTTGAGCCACAGTGCTACTTCCAATTTTCTGGTGGTTTATTGGAGAGGAGTCTCACAAACTCTCCTTCCCGAGCTGGCTTTGAACCACAGTCCTCAGATCTCAGCCTCCTGAGTAGCCAGGATTACAGGTGTGAGCCACCAGCACCCGGCAATGCTCCTTTTTTTGTATTTATAAATGAAGCGTTACCAGGTGCCGTGGCTCATGTCTATAATCCTAGCTATACTCAGCCTGGCACACAAACCTGAGAGACTCATCTCCAATTGACCACGAAAAACATTGGAAGTGGAGCTGTGGCTCAAGTAGTAGAAGGCCAGCCTTGGGGGCAAAAAAGCTAAGAGACAGTGCCCAGGTTCTCTGAGTTCAATCCCTAGTAATGACATATACACACACCAAAAAAAAGGGGGGGTGGGAGAAAGAAAGAAAATGCGAGGATGACAGTTTGGGGAGAGGGTGCAAAGGCCATACATCTGAAGAGCTCATACTACAAGCTGGGCTCAGATCAGTGTTGTACTGGGGACAGGGGGCGGGGAAACCAATGGTTTCACCCAATGAAATCAGGCTTAGGACTCATGGCAAGCCAGTCTGGAGTCCCTACTGCTTGCCTCTTCCCACAGGGGGTGTCTCAACATACTTGTAGGCTAACCAAGGCAGCTATCAGCACATGGCAGAGCACATGCCTGGGCCTGCTGAGAAAGTGGGTGACTGTCAGCCACAGGCCATCTGGAGACAGAATGACTTAAAAGGAACAACAGCCAGTTGTTCTTCCATCCAAACAGCAACGTGGTGGCCAGGAAAGAAGCCAGGTGGAGAAGAGGAGCAGTGGAGGGAGTGGGACAGGTCATGCAGCCCTGGGGTGCCAGTAGGCATCCAGAGCCCCCAAAAGACCAGTTCTGGGATCTTCCATGTTTTCTAGAGTCAGAGTCTGCAGAATGAGCAGCTGTGATTTTCCAGTCTTACACTGTGGGGTTAACATGTGCTGCCAGCTCCCAGGAGGCATAGTGAGTGGAAAGCAAGCGGTCCTCAGGCCCCACCGCCACTTCCATGCATACCAGGCGCCAAGGAGGCACCACATGGGCCAGGAGATGTCGTCGGTGCTGGTGCTTTTGCTTTGCTTGTGGCTGCCCAGCCTGTAGGCACCAAAAACAATGTTCCTGTCAGACCAGGTGGCTGCGCTCACTGATTTCTGGGAAGGCTGGGAGGAGGGGGAGAAGAAAAGGAGTAGGGAGGGAGAAGGCAAGAGAGCAAGAGAAGAGAAAGGGGAAAAACAAGAAAGAAGAGAAGGGAAGAAAGAGTGGAGAAAAGGAAGAACAAAAAGAGTGAGGAAGAAAGGAGAGAAGGAGAGGGAGACAGAGAAAAAAGCAAGGAAGAAAAGAAAGGAGAAGGAAGGGAACAGGGGAGGGAAGAAAGGATGGGGAAGAGGAAGGGAAATAAAGAAAGAGAACAGTGGAATGAGGGAGACAGAGAGAGAGACAGAGAAAGAGAGAGACAGAGAGAGGCAGACAGACTGGCAGAGAAGAGGAAGAAGGTAGAGGGAGAGAGGACAAGAAGACAGAAGAGGTCAAGCAGGTAAAAGTCCCCTGGATCTGGATCTGAAGACCTTTCAGCAGCCCCAGAAGCTTCTGCAGCTCTGCAGCTCTGAAGATTTGTGAGTTATAATGGTTCAGCCAGCATTCTGGGATCCAAGGAACTGCAGGCAAGAATGGGCAATTTCCTGGGCTCCATTTGCCCCACCCACCTGCACAAATGTCCTGCAGAGCGCCCCTGGCAACTGTGAGAGGAGCTGCCACCAGCAGTGTTCAGGGCTCCTCAGGAGGGATGCCCGTGCTTTGTACTCTCTTCCTGTGCTGGGGTATGCCCATGGAGTCCAGCAAGGTTCCAGGGGGGCTGTTAGCATAGCCCAGGGGGAGAGGATGAAGGACAAAATCAGGCAGTGGAGCGGGGAGCTGGTGGCTCATACCTGTATTCCTAGCTACTCAGGAGGCTGAGAGCTGAGGATTGCAGTTTGAAGCCAGCCTGAGCCAGAAAAGTGCGTGAGACTCTCATCTCCAATAAATTATTCAGAAATTGTGGGAAGTGGGACTGTGGCTCAAGTCACAGAGTGCTAGTCTTGAGCAAAAGAAGACCATGGATAGTGCCCAGGTCCTGAGCTCAAGCCCTAGGACAGGCAAAAAATAAAAATAAAAATAAAATAGGCAGTAATGGTGGGGATGAAGAGGAACTGGCATGTAAAGCTGGGGGGGGGGCGTGGAGAGATCGAGGATGACTTCCCAGTTTCAGCACCAACAATGGTAGAGGTGCTGGAGCAGGGTGGGGGGCAGGTGGAGGGTTGCTTCTAGGTGTGATGATGACAGATAAGGAAGTATAGAAAGATCCCAGCCAGAGATCAAGGTGGAATTCCACCCATGCACTGGGCGGCTGAAGCTCCCAGAAGATGCAGAGAGCAGAAATCTGGGTCTGAGCCTTGAAGAAGGACTTCTGGAGAGTGAATGAAAGAAATGATTTGCAATTTAAACCACAAACAAACAGAAACATTCCCCTCTTTCCGGTTCGTGTGAAAGCAGAGCCTTATTCCATCACAAAAGAGGTGTGCAGAAAGAGCTCTGATACAGAAGAAGGATCAGGGGAAGGGGGAGTTCCACAAAAGAGAAGATGAAACCAGAGTCTAGAAAAGGAGCTATCGACAGATCCTTGGTTTGTTAATTAGAGGTCTGGCTTTCGAGAGCTCCTCTTGGTAGCATTATGTTTGTGAATTAATAGATATCTCAACAAAAGGACATTTAAATCAATGCATGGCACCTGCTTAAATGCTTAAGAAGTCATTAATTACACATTCTTAAGAAAATGAGCTATGACACAACCCAGCTAAGTGTATAATTCCTATCTGTGATTCTTCATCACAGGACTTTTCAGCTGCAAGATGGATCTGTCCTGTTCATCTCTCCGCCCCCCCCTTCTGACCAATTAAACATTTCCTTTCATAATCATAACATTTCATATGCCAAATCTTCAAAAGAAAAGGAGCTTGTTAGCAACGTATCATTTCCTGCTGCTAATTCATGCTGGATTAGACATCTTAAAAGTATAATCTATACATACAGGACATTATTAACACATTCGGGTTTAGTGGAAAGACAAAGGCGGTATTATTTTGTGGCTTGATTTTGTAAAATTGTTTATATATATACATATATATATATATATATTTCAATATGGGGCTAGGGGTGGAACTCAGGATCTCTACCACTTGATCTATGCTCCCAGCATGCAGGATATTTGTAGTCTTTTTTTTTTAATTATTGATTAAAAGCCAAGCTCTGGTTCAGGGCTGTAATCCTAGCTATTCAGGAGGCTGAGAGCTGACGATGACAGTAGGAAGCCAGCCAGGCAGGAAAGTGCATGAGATTTTTAATTCCCCGCAAAAGCCAGAAGTGGCGCTGTAGCTAAAGTGGTAGAGCACTAGCCTTGAGCAAAAAAGCTCAGTGAAGGCCAGTTGGTGGTAGCTCACTCCTGTAATCATTGCTACTGAGGAGGCTGAAATCTGAGGATTGTGTTTCAAAGCCAGCCCGGGCAGGAAAGTCGGTGAGACTCTCCAATAAACCAGCAGAAAACAAGAAGTGGCACTGTGGTTCAAGTGGTAGAGCGCTTGCCTTGAGCTGAAGAGCTGAGGAAAACAAAACATAAAAACCCTCAGGGACGGTGCCAGGCACACCCACAAAAATACTGATTGCCAGATACTAGTAGCTCACACTTGTAATCCTAGCTACTCAGGAGGCTGAGATCTGAGGATCACAGTTTAAAGCCAGCCTAGGCAGGAAAGTCTGTGAGACTCTTCTCTCTAATTAACCACCAGAAAAACTGGAAGTGGCGCTGTGGCTCAAGTGGTAGAGCACTAGCCTTGAGCTGAAGAGTTGAGGGACAGCACCCAGGCCCAGAGTTCAAGCCCCACAAACGACCAAAAACAAAACAACAAAACAAAAAACAAACAAAAAAGAAATTACTTCCTATTAAGTTAAGGTCATATAATTCAATATATTTTTTGTGTGTATATGTCCGTGTGTATGTGTGTGTGTGTGTGTGTGTGTGTGTGTGTAAATCTGGAGCCTTGTGATTGCTGAGTGTGTGCTCTGCTACTTGACCTCTATCACTAGCCCAAACTAGGGTCAAATTTTGTCTATCATTCGATACACTGAAAGAACACTCACTCTAGATAATATACTAGAGAATTTATAGAATCCTTGTAGAGGGACCATCTATCTCCAAATAGCAAAGCATTCATTTTCTGCACTGTAGGTTTCTGGCATCATCCAACAGCACAGCTAGAGACAAGTGATCTGGCTCCCAGTTAGTCACTAAGCCTGAGATTCAATAACCCTGGCCTAGCCAGGCCTCCCCCTGGGCCTGTGCAGCAAGCAGGGCAAAGTCCAGCTCACAGCCCAGATCACAGCCAAATCCTGCCACACAGTTGCATACCACCCATGGCTGCACAAACCCAGGCTTCTCAATTCTCTCTGTATTTCCATGGCAGAGCTGAGCAGCTACCACTGCTGAAGAAGGCAAAAAAGCTTTTCTCCACATAGACAAAGCCCAAAATAGTTACCAGTTGATCCTTTATAGAAAAAAAAAAAGAAGAAAGAAAAGAAAAAACTAAAGCCAGTTCCTTGAATAGATCATTTGCACTTCTCAACTTGACCATACACATGTAATGACCACAAAGTCAGTACCTCACTGCTGGGATACCATCAAGAGGCAGTATGCCTTCTCTTCCGACTCACCCATCTTTCTTTCGTAAGAGTCTTTTATTCTCTGTCCTCCAGAGAACTCTGGAAACAAGCCACCGGTGAGTCTAATCTAACACATTATGGGATTTTTTTGGGGGCAGATCTAAGCCATTAATTTCTTTGCCAATAAGATTTGTCAATACGATTCAAGAGCCTACAAAATGAGGGGCTAGAGTTAGTGACCACATCCAGTCCTTAGTTCTTGCAAAGACAAAAGTGTTAAGCATCACGTGTGAGAGTATTATGCCAGAAGGATCATGGGATGGGGGCAGACATTTCTCAAGTGCCCATTCTTGGCACCTTGGCTGGGTATGGCGCTGGCTTTGTGAATTATAGAGCCTGCTTGCTCGTCACATGGTCATGTAACAGGAGCCCTGGGAGATTACTGCTTCCACACAATTTGACTCCATCCTTCTTAACATCTCCAGACCTTGCCATCTCCCATAATGTCTTGGGACAAGACCAGATGCTTAGATGTTTCTGGTGCCTACTTTTTACAAAATCAAAATCTGTCCAGAGCCAAATCACCCCTTCATGTGCCAGGGAACCGCACCCAGAGACAGGAAGGAAGCTTGTCTCTCTATTCGATTATGCATTTTCTCTGTAAGCCAATGAATAAGCCAGCCACGGGTGCAGACCCAATGAAATTGTGCAGGAAGCCCTGGTAAGCAGGCCCATAACCACCTCCGACCATCTCTGTCCTACCTGGTCTCCCTGCAGTGTGTGTTGGTCAAGCGGGGTCTTTGTGGCGATGTTGCTGTAGTAGGCATAGGAGAGTTCCCAATCTAGAGGATAGTTGTCAACCCCCTGGTAGTGTTTATATCCAAGATTCATTGAAGATAGTCTCTCACCGCCCTGGCCGCCAACCAAACTATATAACATGCCCTGTTAGGAAGAAATGAACAATGTGTTTCCCAAGATTGTTGCTCCTGGAGGGTCATAAAATGCTAACACTGAAAGTTCATGCCATTCTAGCTTCACTTCCCTTTACAAATAAATAATCTTAATTTTTTTTTTTTGGAATCCGGTCGTGGGCCTGAACTCTGGGCCTGGGCGCTGTCCCTCAGCTCTTCAGCTCAAGGCTAGCGCGATACCACGTGAGCCATAGCACAACTTCCATTTTTTTTTTCTGCTATGTGGTGCTGAGGAATCGAACCCAGGGCCTCATGCATGCAAGGCAAGTGCTCTACCACTGAGCCACCTGCTTAGCCCCTAATCTTAATTTTTTTACTGTTATCAAAAGGTGATGTGCAGAGGGGTTACAGTTATAGCAGTCAGTTTCACCCCTGCTTTCACTCTCTTCCAGTTTTCCCTTCCCATCTCCACCCACAAGGTGTATTGTGCATTTTCCACATGCTGTCTAGTGAGTACCACTGCTGCATTTATTCACCCTTTGTCCCTCCATTTCTGTGCCTACCCTTACATTCCCAAAGACATATATATGAACAAATACGACTAAAAAGAAAACAAAAACAGCAAAAAAGAAAAAAAATCTTGTTTCCATTTTCTGGAATTTATTTAAATAAATAAATCTCTTTTCTTGTCAGTTGTGGGGCTTGAACTCAGGACCCTGGAGCTGTCCTTGAACTTCTTCCACTTAAAGCTGGTGCTCTATCACTTTGAAGCCACAGTTTCACTTCCAGTTTTCTGGTGGTTAATTGGCGATAAGATAGACTTTCCTGCCCAAGCTGGCTTTGAACCACGATCCTTAGATCTCAGCTTCCTGGTTAACTAAGATTATAAGCATGAGCTACCAGTGTCTGGCAAATAAATCTTGAATAAAGAAGTTGACCCAGCTCTCTAATGGATTCTTAATTCCCAGGTGTTTGGTTTTCCTAATGTTTAACACTTAGAATGCTCTTTTTGTCATTTTTTGGTAGAAACAGAGTTCTTCCCTGACTTCTCTCAACACTGTTGTGTGCACCTTCAACTGTGTGAAGACCCCTGTACAAGAGCTATCCAGTCTATGAACTCATGATCTACATAACACATCTGTGCTCCAACCTTCCACAGTCAGAATACTAGTGCTAGACAGGTCCTTACAGACCAGCTGGTCCCACAATCTCATTTCATAGTTGAGGAAACAGAGGCCTAGAAAAGTGAAGTCATTTGCCCATAGTCAGTGGACAGGGCTAGATTTTCTACACCATTCCATTGGTGGGGCTGCCTCGGGGTCTCAGGAAAACATTCCATCAGTCAGGAGCATCTATAAATCAGAAAAGCAACAATGAACCAACCCTGGGGAAGTCTAAACAGAATGAGTTTCACCTAAACAGAGGCAAAAACCTTAAAAAAAAAAAATTCAAAAGGCGGTCATGTGAAGGTCATTAAGTCGATTTGGCTACCCTATTGGGTGCTACAAAGCTTTAGCACTATTTCTTGGTTTATCTGGGAGGGCGTTTCCAGATAAGATTAGCATTGGTAAGTCTGGGAGTAGTGGTGCACACTTGGAATCCCCACTATTTAGAAAGCAGAAATTAGGAGCATCAAGGTTTAAGGTCAGTCTATGGGAAGAAGTTAGGGAGAACCTATCTCAGTTAATAAACCAGGGTTGGTAGTTCATACCTGTAATCCCAGCTATGACAGTTATCATGGAGGCATACATAGGTGGATTGAGGTCCAGGCTGGCCAGAGGTAAAAAGGCTAGACCTCTAGTTGAAAATTAACTAAAGCAATTCACTAGGAGTATGACTCAAGTAGCAGAGTGCCTCCTGGCAAGCAAGAGGCCCTGAGTTCAAATTCCAATTCTTAAAAAAAAAAAAAAGAATTTGGACAGAGTGGAGCAAATGGCAATGTGGGTACGTAGCAGCCAATCGCCTGAGATCCTAAAGAGACTCAAGGCCTGCATCCTGCCGACTGCTTTGCCCTACAGGATACCATTGCCCCTTCCCACCCCCACCCCTGCAGAGGATCAGAACTTCACACTATCATCTCTCCGGGCCTTGGGGCTTGGGCTGGAAACACCAACACACTTCCCAGCTTCCCTCTCTGAGATGGTAGGTCACGGGACTTCTCCTCTCCATGAGTATGCAAACCAATTCTTCCTAATCAATCTCTTCCTATCTACATAATCCCCTTGGTTTCGTTCCTCAGGGGACCTCTGGCTGAGGCACTTACGAAGCTGGGATTCTAAATGTTAGACAAGTTGCATCATCAATTTCGATTTCAAAACCTCCCTCCCCACCCCACCCCCACCAAAAAAAATCGAGTAGAATGTCATTTCACTCTGATGCTAGATGGCTGGCTGTCACCATACTCTCTTAAGAGATTCAAATGGCTTCTCTTAGCTAAAAGTAAAATGGGATGAATAGGAAGCTCACAGTGAGCGGAGCTGCACATATCAGAAGCCTCTTATTTTCTTTTCTATTTTCTTTTTTCTTTCTTTTTGAACTGAGGTCCTGGGCACTGTCCCTGAGCTTTTTATTTTATTTTATTTTGCTCAAGGCTAGCACTCTACCACTTGAGCCACAGCACCACTTCCGTTTTTTTCCCGTGTATGTAGTACTGAGGAATCGAACCCAGCGCTTCATGCATGCTAGGCAAGCACTCTACCACTAAGCCACATTCCCAGCCCAGAAGCCTCTTATTCTGAAGGATTAGAATTCTGGCCATCCTGGCTCAAATGGTCCCTTAGATGATACAACAACCATACCCTCAAGGCCCAGAATGGAAATGGATGATGTTCCCTTTCTGCTCATTGGAAACTGACTATCCTATATATTTCCACAGCCCAAGGACATTTTTTCTGGGTGTAAAGACTTTTAAGGGACTCCAAGGAGCCACCACACGTGGAAGTCTAGCAGGGGCATTACTTGGCAAGCATAACCCAGTGACAGGTGCTCCTGGACCCCATGAAATACTCCACCTGCAGCGGGTCTCGGGGTACATTTAATCCGGTTTCATAGAAGACAGCGAGATAGTAGGATGCTTTATGGTATCCACAGCAGCTGGAATCCATCAGGAAGGGGACGACCGAGCTAATTTGGTGAAGCCCGTCCACGCTGGAGAGTCTCTTTACAGCCTGCTCAAATATCTTCCCACCGATTTCTAATACAGATTCATTTTGGCTCCTTGGCACTGTAAATAACACAATCCACAGTACACAAAATTAATTACCACGGGATTGACGTGGCTTGAGAAAGAAGAGGCAAAAGCCAATTAAATCACCTGAGTTATTGATACAGTTGGTTCTGGCATACCTTGAAATATACCACCTTCTGGGGACATAAATTAAACCCTTTGGGGATGCCGTGGTGTCATTCTGTTTAATAGCTTTTTTCTTTGGCACTAAATGACAGCCTAGTACCCTGGGAAAAAGGATGTGCCTAACATAGCTGAGAAAGTGCCTCGAGAGAAGAATTCACTCTGTGTAATTCACCACCCAATCAGGACCACTGAAACTTCCAAGAGCCTTTTTTCTCCCTTTAAGAGTCTCTGGAAAAAAAATGTGTCTTATCCCAGAAATAGTTCCCAAATAGTTCTCAAAATTTTGGGGACAGACAGACAGACAGACAGACACACACACACACACACACACACACACACACACACACACAATCTAATTTTGAGCTGCTCCTTCAGCATCTTTTGCTTTCTCGTTTGTTTTGTGTGGGTGGAGGGGGGAGAGGAGTGTTTGGTGGGTCTCTGAATTCAATAAAAAGATGGGTGAACTTTCATGGAAGCCTTACCATAAGGTGTCCAATATCTGGAAAGTAGCCTTTGCTAATTCTGTCATTTGATCTGTAAACTCTTATGAGGTTGGTCCTATTATTAGCCTCCTTGTTTTTTTACAAGAAGAGACTAAGATCTGGAGAAGCAACTCTGTAACTTGGCTAAAGTTACCAAGGCTGGCAAAGGGCAGTGGGACCAACCTTTCAACCCAGCTTTGTCTCCATCGCCCATAAAGAGCTTGCATGCATGGGGCTAGGAAGGTGGCTCAGTGGTACAGCGCTTGCCTTGCATGCTTGAGGCCCTGGGTTCGATTCTTCAGCACCACATAAGCCAAAAGAAGAGCTTGCATGCAATCTGTAATGCCAGTCCTGGTGGACAACCAAGTGCTGGTCTCCACCTGCACCTTTGTGCCGTGAAAGGAGTATTATGCGCACAGCTGCTTTAAGCTACATGATTCCTTTTACATAATCCTGCCACAAGTCTATAAACTGACCCATATCTAAGCAAACAAGTTTAATAGCCCCGTGATGTCACTGGTAGAGTCAGCTAAAATCTATCTTTGTTATTCATCTCTCTTGTTGATTAGTTCAGTCCAATGAATGTTTACTTTCTAGGTAACAATTTCTTTTTTCAATTTTTGTGCCAGAACTGGGCTTGAACCCAGGGTCTGGAGATGTCCCTTAGATTTTTGCTCAACATTCATACTCTACTACTTGAGTCATGCCTCTACTTCTGGCTTTTAGGTGGTTAACTGAAGACAAAAGTATCTCAGATTTATCTACTGGGGTTGGTTTTGAATCTTGATCCTCACATCTCAGCCTCCTCTGTAAGTAGGATTACAGGCATGAGCCCCTAAGCACCCAGGTAACTAGGCAACAGTTTTGCAGGTGTCATGTTAACAAAAGACCAGACAGGATCCAACATATGTTATTTACATGTAACTTACATCCTAAGCTACACGTAAATAATGTCAGCTTGAATGTTAAATATCAACACAAACTAAAATTTCACCTGCCTAAAATCTGTTGCATGTGACATTTTCCCATTTTTCTTTATTCTATTCAAAATAAAAGTGTTATTTAAAAAAAAATTTAGGTGGCAACAAGAGACTCACTACTTGGACAAAGAAGGAGGGGAGAGGAGTTGCCCGATATAGGCAAGTTTGGGGTTCATTTATTTGAGGTCAGTTCCCTTGCAGAAGTCCTTGTAGATGTCAGAGATCAAGTTCAGAAAGGGCAGGGGGAGGGAGTGAAAGCTGATCATGAGCAGGTGCTGGTCCCTGTGGACACAAAGGTGGACGGGGCTGACCCTGAAAGGGGGACACTGTGTTTGTCCTGACAGACTCCGGGCTGTGGGGCCAAAACAAAACTCATCTTACTGAATGAACAGATTGTCCCTTCTTCTGTATTTCTTGTATAGCTGTTTGTTGCCAGAAAAAAATAATAGTAATAAAATGTGCTGTGTGCTGGTGGTACCAGCGGTTACATGCCTGTAACCCTGGTTACTCAGGAGGATGGGATCTAAGGATTGTGGTTTGAAGCCAGCCCAGACAGACAAATCTGAGGCTCTTATCTCCAAATAACCAGCAAAATGCCAGATGCAGAGCATGGCTCAAGACATAAAGTGCCGTGCACCGGCTGCTCATATCTGTAATCCTAGCTACTCAGGAGGCTGAGATCTGAGGATCACGGTTCAAAGCCAGCCTGGGTAAGAAGGTCTGTGAGACTCGTAATCTCCAATTAACCACCAGAAAACCAGAAGTGACACTATGGATCAAGTGGTAGAGTGCTAGCCTTGAGCTGAAGAGCTGAGGGACAGCACCCAGGCCCAGAGTTCAAGCCACATGAGTGACAAAAAAAAAAAAAAAAGTGTCAGTCTTGAGTAAAAAAGCTAAGTAAGAGCATGAGACCCTTAGTTCAAGCCCTAGTACCAACCCACACACACACACCAACACATAAATTGGTATGAAGCAACAACAAAAATCCAGAAGTTTCCTCTCCCTCTGCATATATAATAATTCATCTATATATGTACATATTCATTTTCTTTCAAAAATGGTCTATTTGCTATAGATTATGACTTTTTTTTGTCAGTTGTGGGGTTTGAACTCTGGACCTGAGCGCTATCCTTCAGCATTTCAGCTCAAGGCAAGCACTCTACCACATGAGTCACAGCACCACTTCCAGTTTTCTGAGTGGTTTATTGGAGATAAGAGTCTCACAGACTTTCCTGCTTGGGCTGGTTTTGAACCTCGATTCTCAGATCTCAGCTTCCTGAGTAGCTAGGGTTATAGGTGTGAGCCACCAGCACCTGGGTCTCAACTTCATTTTCTAAATTAATTTTATAGTATGAGGAGCTGTCAGAGCCTGAGAGATTATTCTTTTCTTTTTGTTTCCAGTGCTAAAAACTGAACCTAGGGCTTTGCATGTGCAAGGCTACTTTACAGCTGAGACAAATTTCCAGCCTCGGAGGCTTGTTCTCTCCAATGTTTCAATAATACCATCATCCCTCCGTGTCTGGGGTGGGGGAGTGGTTTTGAGATCCCAAGACCCATATATAAACTACGCAGTACTGGCATATGATGTACACATCCCTATAATGCACACATCCTTGTGTGCTTTACCTTTAAATCACATATTTAATACAATGGAAATGTTATGGAAATTGGTGCCATGCTATACCATTTAGGGACTGATAGCAGAAAAAACAAGTCTGTCCATGTTCATTATAGATGTAATTTTTCTCTGTGCATGTGTGTGGTTTTGTTGTTTGTTTTTTTCTCTCCCAATACTGGGGATTGAACCAAAGGCCTCACACATACCAGGCAAAGTACTCTACCATGGAGCTACTCCCCAGCCTGCTTTTCCAAATATTACTGCTTCATGGTTGATTGAAGCTGCAGAAGTTGGTAGAGAGGACCAACTGTGGTGCCCTTTAGAATACCTCATGTCCCCAACTCATTCTTGATTGTTTTAGACCTTCGGATTGCTTCCAGCTCTGTGTGTGTGTGTGTGTGTGTGTGTGTGTGTGTGTGTGTTTTGTTGGTCATGGGGCTTGAACTCTGGGCCTACACTCTTCAGCTCATGACTGGCTAGTGTTCTACCACTTAAGCCACAGTGCCACTTCCAGTTTTCTGGTGGTTTATTGGAGTTAAGAGTCTCACAGATTTTCCTGCTTGAGCTGGTTTTGAACCTGGATCCTCAGATGTCAGCCTCCTGAGTAGCTAGGATTACAGGCGTGAGCCACAGGTGCCTGGCTCCAACAGCACAGCAGTGGGCCACCTAGAATGCTTTTCCTGAACTCGCTCACCCCTTGGGACAGAGCTAAATGATAACATCCATCCCCATCTGAATCTGAGATTTCCCTTTGCAGAGTTGAGGCAAGAATTCCATCCCACCCAACCAACTGCCACAATCAGAAAGTCTCCACTAAAGGGTTGCAACATAAACCCTTCCTCTCTTAATCTGCGTATTTAGTTTTAAATGTGCTCATTTCAGAAGCCTCCCTGTGAACATCCCCAGCAAAGCAACACTGGCATTTTCTTAACGATTCATCCTTACCTTACCTGCTCTACTAACGCCTTACTAAGAGGCCCAGGTTTGTCTGAGCATGCCTGGGCCTGCACTTTGTGGACTCAGAGGAGAGACTTCAAACCAAATGAAGTTCTAAAGGAAACAATTGCCCTGCTGACCCCTCATACAGAACTCCAGAAACCGTTAATAGTAATGCCCAGGAAGCTGAGATTGCTGGGAAAATCCTTCACAAAGCTGAAATTCTTAGAACAAAAATAACTTCACAGACTGAAAGGACTTCATTATTTCTTTCCTATATGAAAACCTTTTACCACGACCAATATTGCCAATCAGTATTTTCTCTGCACAAGAATCTAAACAGTGTTCTGCACTACCAAATTTAATTAAAAAAAAAAAGTGATTCTAAAGTAAAATGCTCATTCAGCACATTTGTTAAAAGTTTGCATTTCTAATTGTTGCCTAAAATCAAAACCATGATGTCTTTTGGTTGGTATTGCAGAACTGGTGATGTGAAAGTTGGTTTAGTGAAACTGTTAATTTCACCCATCTGGTTTAGCATATGTATTTTTTCTTAGCTGATCATTAACTAAAAACATGCCTTGTTTATGAAGATCGATGGAGCCATAAAGAAATAAACAAACAAAATAGCTGAAGCCATATCTCTTTCTTTCTTTCTGTACCAGAAACTGAAAAAGAAAAGTTCTAGCCCTACCTATTAGCCACTACAATTGTCCAAGTAGCACAGTATCACTTATTCTGCCATTTTCCTGTTTTACAGTAATGCCATAAGGTCAGAATTTCTGGGCTCACTGGTAAAAGAGTAAAGAAGCAGACAAGAGAAGGTAGCCAGCCGCTTGTGGAAGGCTCCAGACA